AAGAAAGAAAGAAAGAAAGAAAGAAAGAAAGAAAGAAAGAAAGAAAGAAAGAAAGAAAGAAGAAAGAAAAAGAAAAGGGCCGCTGCCTTGAGTGGAATGAAATAATTGTGTCTCTGTGCTAATTTGTATCAGCATGAATGTCTTGCTGCCCGGAAAAGAAATCCCACATAAAACACTTCTGTCGTTTTGTCTGCAGCACGCTCTCTGCACTGTGCGCGCACAGATCTCTTTTCGGGAGCCGCCCGGGGCTGCCGTGTCCCGGCCACACCCGCGGTGCCGCCAGACCCGACAGGCAAACCGCGGGCTGGTCCCGTCGGAAACACTGACCCCGCGCCCGCTGTCCGGCAGTTGTTCCCGTCCCCAAACAGCTGTGCCCGCGGCCTTCTAAAGTGGAAGCGCTGGAGACCGTGACAGCCCCGTGAGCGACCAGGAGTGGCTCGCACGTCCAGTTTATAGCGGCCAGGTCCCAGCCAGGCCCGCAGCGGGCAGAGGAAAGTGTCAAACGTTCCCAGCTCCCGCGCGAGGAGTGGAAAGTCTGGCGGCGGCTGCCACCTACAGGTGGAAGTGGGGATCCGCTGCGGGGCCCGGCCCTGCGACGCTGAGCGTTAGAATGACCCCAGGAGGGCCCGGACTACTTAGACCCCAAAGTCCGCCTTGAGGAAATGCTTGTTGCGTGACCGACTGGGGCAACCCAGGAGGAAGTGGGGACAGGACCGCTACCAACTGTCCCTGCAGCCCTGCGGCCGTGCCCGGCGAGGTGGCCTCACTCTGTCAGAGCTACCTGGTGACACAGGCTCCGGGGACCCCTCGCAGCTCACCTGGCTTTGGTGCTGCCCGATTTGGTGCTGTTGCCTTTGGTGCTATTTCGCTTCATTTTTCTTCACAATAAAATATTTCAGAATTGGAGAGAATTCTGCAAAATAAGAGAGCGCCGGGGTTAGCACGGTCCAGTGGACCCAGCGATCCTAGGGGTGTCCAGGAGGGCCGAGCAAGCCCAGGAAAGGACTGAGCCTGCAGGTTTGCAAGGCCCTTGGACCATCTGCAGGTTCCTGGAGGAGCAGGGCTGTCTGTGCCTCAGAAAGGCGCGTCCTGCACACGTGTCACACTAACTATAGGGCTCCTGGGGCGGCGGAGTGTGTGTGTGAGCACATGCTCCCCTCCCAACCTCCATGCTACATGCACACGCATGCACACACACACGCGTGCACGCACACATGCACACCTACTGTCACCCCTTCTTTCTTCCTCACAACAGCCAGGATGATCATTTTTAAAATGCAGATCCCCCAAGGCCCTGTCACTTCTGTGGGTGCGGCATCAGGCCCCATTCCTCCATCTGCCTCCTGCTCCAGGTCCCTCAGCCTCCGCCACACCAGCCTTTGGCAGCCCCTCAGACAGACCGCTCCCCACACAGACGCTTGTGTGTCTTTCTACGCTGTCGTCTCCTCCTGGACCCCTGTTCCTACTCCCTCTCTGCCTCCTGAGTGTCTCCTCCTCCAAAAGATCAGTGGCTCTGAGTCGAGGGTCCCTGAGACTGAGCTGGTGGCCTCGTGAGATGCCCAGTGCTGGCCCAGCTCCTGGTCCTGATTCTGATCTGATGCTGGGGTCTGGGAAACTGCATGGCTAGCACATTTCCAGGGAACCCTGCAGGGCACACAGCTCTGAGTACTCCTGCCTGGATCTCAGTGCCAGTGTCTCTTCTTCCTGGAGCCCTCCTGGACACCCCCACACGGCCTCCCTGACGCACCATCTCAGCCCCTAAATTCAGCAAGTCTAGAGCTGAGTTAATGCACACCACCACTGCACGCCAGGCCCTACCTAGGCCAGTGGTGAGTTCAGATTTAGAGCAACGGCAGGAAGGAAGTGGCTTCCGCTCCTACGGCCTGGCAACTCCGCCCTCTCTCTGATGAGTCGGCAAGCGCAGAGTGTGTTCCCTGCTCCGTGAGCCCCGACGCCACCATCGGTCCATCTCCACTCTGCTGAACCACAGAATTAGCCTGCGATTCACCTGTAGTCTCCTCTCTCCCTCTGCCCCACCCGCCTCTGTGGCCAGGATTCATCTTTGTTTCTAAAGCACAGAGAGGGTCGTGCTACTCCCTTGCTGAAAAATGCACAGTGCCAAACATGCACGTGTTCAGACTTCACAGGACTGCACGCTAGAGGAAGAGGTGTGTGCACAGAAACTGCTAAAATACGAATGACGTTTTTATTTTCATTAACATCTGCATATTGGCTTTAGTTAAAATGACATCATGGCAAAATTTAATTCCCAGGTTTTTTTGTTTTGTTTTGTTTTGCTTTTTAAAACAAGGTCTCATTCATTAGTTCAGGCCGGTCTTAAACTCACTATGTAACCCAAGCTGGCCTCGAATTGGCAGAGTGCTGGGGTTACAGGTGTGCACCTCTACCACGCCCAGCTGACTTCCTGGTGCAGATCATCAAGCTCCAGTTATCCTGCGAGATGGTACTGCCGAGCAAGCTGGGAGTACATGGGAACTCACTGGGGTAATTTTGCAACTTTTACATGACTCTAAAACGCTTCCCCAACACAGTTGTGTTTTGTTTTGTTTTTTACCTCCCCGAAATGCAAGACTCCCTGACATACAAACTGATATTCAAACTCTCAATTGTGGAGTGGATTGTTGCATCACCGACAACCTGGCCGGGGACAACACGGGCAGATCGCATACCCTTGACACGGGCTCCGTTTTCACCCGGTGCTTGGGCGAGCCAAGGAGCTCCCGGCCACTGCTGTGGTCCCTGCTTCAGCTAGAATGTCCCCCACCCCGGTCCACCTGGTACCGTCCAGTCATCTTTGAAGAGTGAGGCACAATCCCTTCCTTCACCCGACCTTCCTAACCTCTAAACACAATGAATCCTGGCATCACAGAGAACCTAGTCCCAGCAGTGTACTAGCTCGTGGTTTTACTTCATAAAGAAAAGGATGGAAAGATGAAGAACGCCTGTAACTCCATCACTTTCCTGGGGGGAGGAAATACTAATACTTCCTCATCCATCATCTGATACTTCCTCTTCTCTCCCCTGACTTTCACCTCGATTCTCTGTTTCCAGAACTTTCTATTGGTCCCTGCTGGTTCCTAAGCCCCTCCAGTGGTGGGGGCAGCACTAACTTTTTACAGCCAGCATGACCTGGCACACAGTAAGCAGTATGTTAATTTTTGCTTTTAAAAAAAAAATTGCAGAGCTGGGGATAGAAACCAGGGCTTTATGCATGCCAGGCAAGCGCTATACCCCTGAGCTGCAGCCCAACCCTAAACTTTGCTGTTGGTGGGCAAAGTTTATCAACGCCTGGTACTACAGAGGCGGCAAGCCTGGGCCAGCTTTACCCTCGATTGTGAAAGCTGAACAAGGTTCTGCCTGAGACCAAAGTACTGTGAGGCAGCTACTTGTCACTCATCCCTGACTGCGTATGACCCACAGTTTAGGTTTTGGAAGTAAAGCGAATACTGAGACACTAACAAATGAGATTACTTCAAAACTTGGTGAGGCAGAAATTAGCAATGATCATCAAACCCAAACCCTTCCCCTAAATAACCAAAATCATAGACTTTCATATGTGCTTCTTAACCACAGCAAAAACACAACCAGAAAGCTATTTCCCTGATACGTTTGTTTATTTGCCAGGGAAATATTGATGTCCAGTTTTTAACAGATGTTATTTATATCAGAATCATAACAAAAGTGCCATCCATCTGCTTTGGCATCCAGAGAAAACATAATCCAACACGACAGTAAAAATGTGCACAGCCAAACTGAAATGGCACCGAAAGCAAAAATTGTTGGAAGTGGTTATCTCCGGACTGGGGAAGGGGATTAGCACTTGACTAAATTGGACAAAAATTGTGAGCAACACAAGATTCTGGCAGTTAAATCCAAATACTTGAGGAAATTCTCCTCCTCATCTGCTCTGTTATCAAGTGGGTTCTGTTCTGTTCTATTTGGGGACATACGCTATAAAGTCCCCTCTAAGGAGTCCCTCACGTGTCCATGCACACCTCAGTCACCTGCTGCCCGTCTTTACTTTTGGACAGTGGAAAATGCAAGGGCTTTGGAGTCAAGGAGCATGGGGTCAGATGGGCTCTGCTATCTACCGTGCAAACCTGCGAGAGGATTAACCTTCTCCGGACCGGTTTCCTTATTTGCAAACTAGAATAAAATCTCTCTTTGCAGCAGGTCTCCCCACCCAGCATCTAAGGTCCAGATCCATCCTGCTTTTGGAGATCTGCAGACACTGACGCTGAGTGCAAAAGTGCATAGGAAACGCTTCAGTGAGACAGCTGCTCACAGAGCAGGAGCGGCTACAATCACCGCTATCAAGGCTAGGGAAGGGCCAAGGCTCATGTTCACAGGTACCTGGCATGCATTATTTTCCAGGTGATGCGGATGGAACCCAGAGCCTTGTGCATGTTAGGCGAGCACTCTACCATTGAGTTATATGTAGTATGTGTGTGTATACGTGTGTGTGTGTTTGTGTATGTGTGAGTGTATATATATATATATATACATATATATATATATATATATATTTTTTTTTGAGTTATGGTCTTGCTAAGTTGCCCAGGCTGGCCTTGAACTTGCCGTTCTCCTGCCTCACCGCCACCCAGGTAGCTGGGATTACAGCTCTGCACCACCCTTCCTCGGCTAGCATTCACTACCTGGCAGTTCATACTATCCTCAGGTCCTAGGAATGTACAGATGGCCACATCAAGGCAGAACATGGGCAGGGAAACAATTACAGCCCAAGGAGCTATGTGATATCTCAGGGGACTAAGGGGAAATCACACAGAGCCAATCAACAATTGGCCATGAAACCCCTGTAGGATAGGACAGAGGCACCCGGAGTGCGGCGACAGTGAGGTGACCGTGGCTTAGGCACCCTCAGTGTCCAGGCAAGGCTTGAATAAGGTGGGTGCTCTGTGAATCACCCCTAAGTACATAGGCAAAGATGGAAACCAACCCAGGGGACAGGATAATGTCACTCGCAATGCCCAGGGGCAAACACTTTCAAACAGTGTTGCTGGAAACTTATTATTCACAAATTTTTAATTTCAAACACAATCGTGCACCTCGCTCCCAAACAGCAAGGACAGGAAGCCCACACCTTCACTCCCAGCCATGCTTCTAGACCCCTCCCAGCCTCCAGTGAACCCAGGAGAAGTTTCCCTTAGGCCAGTATTAGCAAAGCTTTATTGTTCTCCTGAGAAATTAAAAGGCCTTCTTTGCCTGGACCTCCCCCCGAAAGAAAATCCTTTCTTTGTAATTTTATTTTTCCCTGAGTTGGCAAAACGCTCACAGCTACATCTGCAGCTCGACATTTTTGGTCATCGTGGACAATCTGAGTATTCACCTTCCTCTGAAGTTGTTTTCCTATTCTGTGTTTTTCATGACTTACATTTCCATTTTACCACACTGTAGGTTTCTTATAGATTATCCCAAAGTGCTGGCAGGAGTTACAGAGCATATAAACATCAGAGAGTAGCAGGAAATTGATCAGGAACATGGGTTCTGTCACCAGGAGTCCTAGAGTAAAGGACACATTCTACCATTTGTCAGTTTTGCAAAGTTTTGTGTTCCTGAAAAGTGGGAATAGTAGCCAGCACAGAGGAGTGCGCCTGTAATCCTAGCACTCTGGGATTTAGCATCTCTGCAAGACTCTGACTTAAAATTTTAAAAGTTTTAAAAGGGTAGGTAATTTAGTTCAATGTGAATGCCCTGGGTTCATTCCCCAATACCGACCCCTCCACGAAACTGGAAATGGTAACTATACTTTTTCATAAGCAGGTTGTGAAGGATAAATAAAAACAGGTATGTACAGCTCCAAACTGTGCCAACAACACACTCAGTACTTAGTAAGTAGAAGCCGGTAGTAGCAATCATAGTAATAGCAGTAGTAAAACAAGACAAATGGAGCCGGGAATGGTGGCGCATGCCTGTAATCCCAGCACTCAGGAGGCTGAGGCAGGAGGGTGGTTGCAAGTTTGAGGCCAGCCTGGGCTACACAGTGAGCTCAAAGCCAGCCTGAACTGCATAGTGAGACCCTGTCTCAAAAAGACAAACAAAACAAAACAAAACAAGACAAGACAAATGGATGGAGAGAAAATAAATGACAAATGGCACCCAAAATAAACGAAAACAAAACAGTAGTGAGGTCAAAACCAAGAGAAAGAAGTGGGAAATGAAGGTCTTTCTACTAGAAGTGAGTTCTATTCTCATGATCTGTATTCATAGATTCTTCTCAAACTCTGCCCCTCCCTTTACACTGATCTTCCAAATGGTGAGGGCATCCTGGAGAGTATTATATTGAAAATAAATTAATATTTAAATACAACACTAATGCTTAAACCCATTGATACAATTGTGCAAGCCAATGGTTCACTTCCTGCCTTGTAGGTCCCCGGAGGGAGGGCCCCTGGCGCACGGGGAGCCATGCGGCCGTGAGCGCTGTTGCGCGCCAGCCTTCAGACTGGCCGCCGCTGCTCATTTGAGAACTATCATGACACAGAGAAACAATGACACAATTGGGCCACCATGCACCGGCTGCAGATGCCCACCCAAGGACGTGTGTGAATCATTCAAACATGGAAAAACCCCGGGGAATACATGCTATCCTACGGGCCACTTTTGCTCCTCCCATTGAGAACCAGAAAGGTCTAGAGTCAGCAGAGGAGCAACTGCTGAACAAGGACTCGGAGAACATGAGAATACAGACTAAGCCCGAGGGGTCAGAGGTCCTGTGGACTAGGGTTATGAGAGCCGCTCAGAAGCTGTAAACCAGGAGGATCTTGCATAATACATGCGGAGACTCACTGGAAGCCATTCTTCCCCTGACAGTACAGGCTGTGGTGGGGCCCGGGAGAAGTCTGCAACAGGATTCCTGCTGCCTGTGCTGACAGTTGGGGAGAGGACACTAACTGGTTGTGGGGTCCCAATGCGATGGGAGGCTGGAGAGAAAACGCTACAAAAAATGGCTTTGGCCCCAGATGGCTCACTTGATTTTTGACAACCTTTAGGCTGTAACTACTTGTTAAATCCTTCTTGTGTATCTCTGTCTTCCTGAGAAACCACTTCTAAGATACCAACATGTATTACAGCAGTCATTGATATTTTCCTACTAATCTATCCATAACTCTGTAATTTTTGTATTGTTCCTATCCTATTTCATAAATGGATGCATGTTTATTATTATGTGTTTCCTACAACAACCATTGAGAATACTTAATGATTATTCAATAGGTCACTCATGTATAGTTCTATTTATTTTCTTTCGAAGATACCTAAGTAGAGTACAACAACTATTGATAATCTCCTACCTCTTTTGTCTATAACTCACTATTATTTGTCTATTTGTTTTCCTGAAAAACTATCTTGTAGTTAACAATATGTGAAACAATAACCATTGATAATTTCCTACCACTTTGTCTGTAATTTGGTAAGCCCCCCCGATTATTGTTATCCTTCTTTTACTCTTTAAAATTAAAAAACAACAACAACAATTGAGCAAGCCAAGATGTGGGATACTTTTAGATAAATACAGAGTAAAACTTTGGACTGTAATTTGTTCTGTGGTTGTTCCACAAGACAAGCAAACATTTCTCATGAATTTTAACTTGATGCATGAGCCCTGTCTTGACATGACATTGCTCACACTGTCACACCGTCACCCTAAGCCAATGGTTCTCTCTTGCACTGCAATGTGTGAGCGATGTCTCTCAACAGTGGGAGCTTATGGAGGAGAGCTCATCTTCAGGGGAGGGGGAGAAAAAGGTGGAGGAATCCCTCACTTCAAATGGGATGAGGGAGATGTGTAAAATGTGTGAAACAGTGCAAAATGTTGTAGAAAAGTACCACACGATTAAGGCTGTAGCAGTGTAAGCAATGACTGTCTAATGACAATGCAATGCCACACTTCTGAGAAATATTCAAAAGCAAGCAAAAGCAAGTGTCATTGGATAGAGGCCTTGTTATAGCTGCATGAAAAGAAAGAGATTCCACTGAGCCATTAGAAAGCAGTGAGTCTGTCAGTGATAGTGAAAGTCGTCCCACACAGCAACCCTCCTCTCTCTTGTCTCCCTTGCGCCAGCTGTGAAGATTTTCAAAGGGAAGTGCAGGTTAATTTGTTTATTTTTCTTTATATTTTGCATGTTCTTTATTATTTTGCATTATACTACAGCATTGTAATCATTTTTATATGAATATTTTTGGATTGTAGAATGAATTGCCTGAGTTTCCATTATTTCTTAGGGGAAATTCCCTTTGACGTACAAGTGCTTTGGATTACAGGCATGTTTCTGGAAAGAATTATGCTTGTAAACCAAGGTTTTCACTCTACTTTCCAAAATGATCACTTGTGGCTTTTAAAGAAAGAAAGTGATTGGTGGCTTCTTTTGTTACAGTTTCTCATTGACATTAGGCAGCTTAGTTCTCAGTCCTGACAGAGAAAGGAGCTCTCCAGGAAACCTATCTGGAACTCTCAGCATCTGCTACCTTTCGACGGCCGCTCTTCATACACACCTGAGAAGAAGCTCTACTCAAGCGACTGCCTTGTTAATGCCAGATCCTTGGGGTGGGCAGACACCAGGATACTGGACATCTCTGAGGAGCTGGTTCTGTCTGCAGGTGCTGCTCTGCTGTGGGAATCCCAGTCTGTACGCTGCCTCAGAGACTTCTGTGCACAAGGAAGAAATGAGTGGTTAGAAGGAGGCAGGGAAAAAAGCAGACAAAATTGGAGATCAACGTATAGAGACGTGGGTATGCAATTTTTTTGTGGGTACTAGGAATCGAACTCAGGACCTCATGCTTGCAGGCCAGGTAAGCATTTCTTGACAAACATCTATAAGCAAGCGTAGGAACGAAGCTAGTATGGGAAGGGGAAGCACAGGAAATGAAAGTAGAACACTTGTCCTCCAAACTTGCAGGGAGGTTGGACGGGAGGCAAACACATCCACAGATAATCCCACTATGCCTGACTCACTTTAAAATCCCCAGAATTTATCTGAATAAACGTTTGCAGAATTGAAGGTAATGGATCAAAGAAAAAGATGAAGGAACTGCGGTGTGTAAATGTAGAATTTATTTACAGCATTTCTGTAAGTCCACCCCTTTAGGGGCACATACACAACCAAAGAAACACTACTACTCTTCCAGAAAACACACTGGAAGAAAAAAAATTTTCAGCAAAAAGGAAAAAAGAGTGGAGGGGTGGTTTGGACTACTGTCTCAAGTAAGCCTGAAAACACAGAACGGTTCGGAGGTGTTTCCAAAGAAGTTTCTGAGAGAGACAGGGATAACCGTGTAATACCAGGGAGTAAGGTGTAAAAGAGCAGAGATTTTCCTATGAGTCAGAGTGAGTCTGAATTCTGGCTTTGCAACTTGCCAGTCGTGTGACAACAGACAAGCCCCGTCACCCCGCAGCCTTCCAGTCTTTGTCTGTAAGTGGGGCTGATGATATTCAAGAGAGTGCTGTGGGTCACGGTCAAGTATGGGGCATGAGGTACTTTGTAAACCGGAGAGGTCCGAGGCACACATTTCCCATCTGCCCATCACTGGAATTCTGGGAGGAGGAAGAGGTCATTATTTTCGACGTTGTTTATATTGTCGCTTTCCCAAGTACTGTTAAGCTCCATAGGAACCAGGAAGGCACTAGGCACAGTAGCCCCCGGGCCCAAGGTGCAGAGGCTCCAGAACCGTGTTGGGTAAACGGATCCCCGCCCCTGAGACCCTGGGATGGGCTGCAGCGCTGGGCGGTCTTAGGGCTGCAGGACCCTCCAAGCAGCCTGGCCGGCCCCTCCTCGGCCCTTGGGCTTGCGCGCCGCCGCCCCGAACGCGCGCGGGGGCCGTGCGCCGAAGCCACTGTCGCCTTACCCCGGCCCCGGCTCAGAGTCTCGGCCTCGCTCGACCTACACCTGCGCGCGGACCCGTAGCCTGGGCCTCGGAGGCCCAGCCCATTTCGGTCTCCAGGACGCTGTTGCCCCAGCGACGAGCTCACCCGCCGATTGGACACCAGCTCTCCGCCCTGAAAATAAGCGGGGCTGCCATTGGCCAAGTCGAAGACAGAGTTGGGCGGAAAGAGGCGGGGCCTAGACAGCGGTTCCGCCCCTGGAGGAACTTCCGCTGCAAGCCCTTCCAATGGTGAGCGGGACCCAGCAACTAACGTCATGGCAGCGGGCTTCTGTTACGCGGCGGGCCTTCTCTCCAGCTGAGTTCTGGTTCCAACAAACTCCTTACGGCCATGTGGCCTGGGCAGAGCCAGTGTCTGCAGAAAACTAAGCATAACCAGCGTGGTGGCTCACACCAGCATCCTGGGTGGCTGAGGCAAGAGGATCGCAAGTCCAAGTCCAGCGTTTGTTTTATTGAGACAGGGTCTCGCTATGCAGTTCAGGCTGGCCTTGAGCTCACTTTGTAGGCCAGGCTGGCCTCGAACTGCAACGATTCTCCTGCCTCAGCCTCCCGAGTGCTGGGATTACAGGCATGCGCCACCACGCCCGGCAAGTTCAGCGTTTGCAACTTCACAAAACCCTGTGTCAAAATGAAAAAGGGCCAGGGATGTAGCTCAGTGCAGAGGCTCTGGGTTCAGATCCCATTACCATGAGAAGAAACCTAAAAACCACAACGTGCCCACTTGATTGGGCCCACTTAAGATGAACGGAATGATGTAAAGCCCCGACCACGTGCTGGGCCTTCCATGAATTCTCCAGCGGGTGGCGATTTCCGCTTGCTCCCTGAGCGGGTGTGTCTAATTGTGTGCTAAAGAAGACAGTCCCGTGAAGCCAGGAACGGTGCGTAGCCGGGCACTGTCCTCCACCTCAGCTGGTGCGGATGGATATTGGCTAAATGAGTGGAGTATCGCAAGAGTCACAGGGCCCCGTGGGAGCCCGACGAGCCTTATCAGGGATCCTAATAGTAGTTACAGGCGCTGACTCTGTGGAGCAAATGCCTTTGCCAGAACCTGAGTAGTTACATGTCAGCTTCACAGCCGCCTTCTCTTGAGATTTTTGCTTATGTGCCTAGCAGTTCTCTGGATGCGTGGGGACCTCAGGGGAGGTCCTCGGCTCCTTTCCATGCAGTACTTTGATGCAATCAAAATTAATTTCATAATAATGCTAAAGCATTCCCTTTTCACTCTTATCCTCTCAGAAGTATGTGGGGTGGTTCTGCAGAAGCTCAGTGTGGTACTGCAATGGACTAAAGGTAAAACGAGATATGAGAAACCAGCTGTTTTGAAAGGCATGGTGGTGCACACCTGTAATCCCAGCACTGGAGAGGCTGAGGCAGGAGGATGTGGCGAGTTCGAGGCCAGCCTGAGCTACAAAGTGAGCTCAAGGCCAGCTTGAACTGCACAGCGAGACCCTATCTCAAAAAGACAAAAAAAAAAAAAAAAAAAAAAAAAGAAAGAAAGAAAGAGAAAAGAAAAGAAAAAAGACACCAGCTATCTTCTAAGCCAGATATTGAAGAGATTTGCAACAATCTTTTCAGTAAATTTTTTTGTTTTGCAAAGTATAATTTTTCATTAAAATTGTATTAGTTCTACCTAATCATTTTATTGATTTTCTAATCTGATAAATACTGATAGTTTTAACCAACATAAGCAAGCATTCTTTGGCATCCTCAGTACTTTTTAAAGCAATAAAAAGAACTCTGAGGGCAGAAAGTTTGAGATCAAAGCGCTTAGAGTATTCCCTCTGTTGTAGTCAACAATCTCATTCTTTCCCTGTTCTCTGGAAACATGCTCTAGTATCTTGCATCTTTTTAAAGCAAGTTCTATTTCCAACCCATTTCTGGGCCCTGTTTCCCTGCTTTACAGTAGAGCTGTCCATTCGTGCTGCCTTTCTGTTCCCGTTCACCAGCATGCCAGACACACACTGCCGTCCCTGCAGCACCTGGGCCTCTCCATAAATACCCACATTTCACCCACACATCACCTCCCCGCTCCGAAGCATCCAACCCAGTCGACCCCTCCTTCCCATCCAGAACACACTCCCATTGGCTTCACTGACACCACACCGACTATTCAGTTCTCAGGGCCCACAGGTGCTTTCCCCTTCTTCGTGACCCCTGGGTAGTAAGATCTCTTTGCCTCTGCCCTAGGTTACACTCTTGCCCTCATTGCCAGCCTTGACTCCTCCACTTGAATGGGTTGGAGACCATGAAGGCTCATAGCTTGATCCCTCACTCTACCATTTCAAAACACAGCATCACTCAAATTAGGGTGCCTTGTTGTTACCCTGTAATGATCACTGCTTCACCCTCCACGTGTAATTCAGTAGGCTTGCTGCTTCTAATGCCACAACACCTCGGCCATCAGCAGTCTCACTCGTCCATGCTATCCTGCCCATTGCCACACCAGCACTGCCCTGCACTAAAATATTTTTTCTTGTGATTGAACTTTTGCCCTGAGCTACCTCCTCAGCCCTTTTTTACATTTTATTTTGTGACAGAGTGTTGCTAAGGGATGAGTTCAAATGTATGATCCTCCTGCCTCATCCTCCCAGCGTGCTGGGATTATAAATGTACACCACCTCACCCTGCTGGGACCACTCAATATCTCATTTGCCTCCCGTGACCATAAAGGGCCACAAAGCACAAGAGCCAGCTTGCAGAGAGGCTCCTGCTGGTCAGTCTGATAGCTTTCTTCCTAAGCCTCCCTCCTGGCTTATCCACAGCTGGCATCTCTGTCCTCAGCAGGTCTTGCGTGTCCCGATCTACCCTTCTCATGACGCTGGTCAGATGGGAGCAGGGGCAACCCTGTGACCTCTTTTTAACTGATTTACCTTCTTAAAGGCCTCTCTCTAAGGCTGGTCACATTCTGAAGGAGACACTTGGGATTAGGCGGAGGTGCAATTCAGCCCATAACTGGCACGAGGGTGTTCTTTATTGTTATCCTTGAAACTCTTTTTGAAAGTTTGAATTTTTTCCTAAGTAAAAGATGAGAAAAAAAATCTGCGGATTTCCTGTACAGCACTTATTTGCAGTTACTTATTTTGTTTACAAATCCACTCTCCTCGTGTCAGTACCACACTGCCTGCATTACGGTTACCTGGTAGGACGCCTGCCTCCAAGGTTTCAGCTGTGTTGTGCTTCAGTATCGCCTGGCATGTTCTCGATCTTTTCATTTTCCTAAGTGTTTTAAAATCAGTACGTGAAGCTTGACATCAGTAACAGCAAAGCTTGCACCGAATTTATGAGACAACTGACATCTTTACAATATTGATTTTACAATCCCTCAATATCATGCATCTCTCCATTTAGGTTGGCCAATTTTTCTTAACAATATTTAGTTGGGGGCTTTGTTAAATCTTTCGTAGGTTATTTATATCCGTTGTAAATTGTGTTTTTCATAACAAGTAATTTACTTCTTTTTATTGTGATAAAATATATAAACAAAGTTTGCCAATGCAGCCACTTTAAGTATACAAATCAGTGACATGAATTACATTTACAGTTTGTGCAACCATCACTACTGTCTAGTTTCAAGACTTTTTTTTTTGTCTTTTTGAGACAAGGTCTTGCTATGCAGTTCAGGCTGGCCTTGAGTTCACTCTGTAGCCCCGGCTGGTCTTGAACTCGCAACAATCCTCCTGCCTCAGCCTCCCGAGTGCTGGGATTACAGGCGTGCGCCACCACACCTGGCAAGATTTTTCTTTGCAATGAACAGAAAATCTGTACCCATTAAATAATAACTCCCATTTCTCTCCCCTTATGCCATCTAATCTACTTTCCCTATGAATTACTGGTTGGGGAGAGTCCATATAAGTGGAATCAAACTATTTTTCCTTTTGTGCCTGGTTTATGTCACTGTTATCTAGGTTACTTCGTGTTATAGTATGTATCAGTCTATCACTTGGAATGGCTGAATAATACTCCACCGAGAGTATATGGCTGATTCTAAGATATGCCAGGATTTGTTTAAGGAGGCCGGGTAGATATGCCAATGCAGAAATGACTCATAAAGGAAGAAGTCCTTAGAAACAAGAGTCTGTCACCAGGGCCATACCAGGAAGCTGCAGGGTTGATGATGAAGTGAATGAGGAGAATATGAGGGTGAGAGCATTTATCGGGGTTTCTACTAGAACGGGAAGTTGAGAGCCTCAGCTTTGGCTAACGTCACTCAGTGACACGGGCTGTGGCGCTTGGGGACTGTCTCCAGCAGCCAGTGCCTGGCCCAGGGGTCAGTGGGAAGAGGGAAACTGGCCTGACCGTGAGAGTTCAATAAAGGATGTAGCACGGGCTAATGGGCTTTGGATTGGGTGGCTTTCATCTGAAAACTGGACTTGTAACATGGGCTGTTTCTGCTGTGTTAGAAAGGCCCCAGGATGGCAAAGCACCAGGAAATACAGAAAATAAAAACATGGAAACGTATATGTGCTCTTTACCCACTCAGCTGTTGACAGATCCTGGTGTTGTTTCCACCTTTGAGCTACAGTCAATATTGCTTCCATGGACACTGACATGTCAGTGCCTGAGATCTGCTTTTATTTCTTAATTCTAATTATTATTTTAAAATTTATTTTAGCTTTTTTGACAAGGTCTCAATTATGTAGGCCAGGCGGGTCTTGAACTAGAAATCCTCCTGCTCCAGCCTCTCAGATAGGCTTACAGGTATGCACCTCCATACCCTGCTTTTTAGTTCTTTGGGGCGTAGAACTGGAAGTGGAATTGCTGGGCCATGCAGTTCTAAACTTCACTCTGTGGAGCTGATAAGCTGCTCCCCCAGCAGCTGCCTCTGTCCACACCGGCACTCTATGAGGGTTCCGATTGCCCCACATCCTCACCAGCACTCATTTTCTAGGATTTTGGCTTCAAGTTTTTGTTCAGGGTGAAGTGGTCCTCACTGTGGTTTAGGTTTTCATTTCCCCATGGTTAATGAGGTTGGGCATCTTTTCATACACTTCTTGGTTGTTTGGATATCTTCCTCGGAAACACCCATTCAAGTCCATTGCCCATTTTCCAGTTAGGTTCT